CCCATCCCAACCGGACCCGTTCTGCCGGAGCAGCGCTCCGACCAGCTTGGGGGATTTGGGAGCTGCAGAGCATCCCCCCTCCGGCAGCCCGGCTGGGAGCAGAGGATCTCCGGGCACCGTGCAGGGGAGACGCAGCCAGGCCTCGAGGCTGCAGGAAGCCGGGCTCCCCGAGACCGTCACGGGCGACTTCCAGCTCAGCTCCAGCATCGCTACCTCCTCGTCGCAGGTCAGACCTCACCAACGGCTTCGCGGACAAGGCAAACTCGGCTTTCGAGTGCCAGAGCCCCGAAGCGCGCGGCCACGCCGAGCGTGCCACCATCACGAGCGAGACCCGCGCTGCCCCGGTGTTTTTCCATCCCTGCTCTCTATCCGGAGGCACGCTGCCCTGCCGGAGTCTGGTGCTGCTTTGCACGGAGCAGGAGAAAGCCCGCCACATCCAGGCTGCTCCTCTTTTTTTTTTTTTTTTATTTTTACCCATCTCTAAGCACCATCCTTTGGTCTTCTGCTCTTCCATGAAGGCAGATCCTCTCTACACTGGGTGGGAGGGTGAGGAGGAGGCAGAAAAGATAAGGCTGGGGGATCGAGTACCGTGGTAGGCAGCCCAGAAAGAGTCCAGGAAGAGGAGTTGAAAGCCAGACATCAACAGAAATAGTGGAGAGGGTCTACAGGAGGATGGGGAAGAGGAAAAAACGAGTCGCCAGCGAGCAGGGGAAAAGTAAAATAAACAAACAAAAAGAGAAGAGCTAGGCATCGGAGGTCCGAAATCCAAGGGAAAGGCAGGAGGGAGATGGGACGTGGCGCCGGGCTGCTCCTCCTGCTGCCCCGGGTACGGCTTAACCGCGTTAGCCACGCTCCCCGCCGAAGCCAGGCGCTGCCGCCTCCGAGCACGGCGCAGAAGAAAACAGCACAGGTTCCCGGAGCTAATCGAGGCCAGCTGACGAGGAGGGCTCGCTGGCTGGGAGCAGACCAGCAAGAATAAAAAAAACAAGACACCGGCCAGGCTGGGATTTGCAGCCCTCAAGATGCGGGCTGCTGCTGCACGGGGGTTCACGCAACCAGTAAATTAATCCCAACCTTCATTAACCACCCCGCAGCCGCCGGTGCCAAGGGGCAGCCGTCCTCGAGGGCTCGGCGCCGGCCACGCTCGGGCTCTGACCACGATTTGGCCGCGCGGATCAAGACCTGGATTGCTCCCGCACAAGCTGAGGCTCAGGCTCTGCCCCAGCTCTTCGCACGCTTTCTCAGCCACCAGTAATCCAAGAGGCTCATTTACTTCCCGAATCCCTCCGATGAGCCCAAAACGCTAACTGCTGATCCGCCCGAAACGGCGATGCCTCTTAAATGCACACGCCGTGCTGCGAGCCACCCTCGCTTTGGGTCTAAAGTGAGGCGTTTAGGAAGGAAGGAAAGGAAAGGGCAGCTCAGCGACGGCGCTGAGCGGGGAGGTAGGGCAGGGGCCCTCCCCAAGCACCCCACGGTGACAGGCAGCACCCCGACACGGTGACAAATTTCATGCCTGGGTCCCAGTGCTGGTCTAACGAGTCTCCCTAACGAAGGTCTCAGACTGGGCTGGAGGGAACACTGGTCCTCCTCTCCCCAAGCCCTGGGGTAAAGCCGATTTAAGACGTTGCCTCGAGCTCTCGCAAGCCCAGATTGCGCTGAAGAGATGCGTCAGAAACCCGGCTCGCGGTGCAAACCGGGATTTGGGCTCTTCTTGGTTTAAGCCAGGTTACCTCCTGCCCCTTGCGGTGACAAAAGCCCAGCTACGCTAAGCCTGGAAAGAATTCTCCAGCGCAGGAGCCAGCCTGGCTCTCCTCCCGGACAATTGCTTTGCCCTTCTCCCGAGTGAAGCTAAAGCCGGCCCCGCTTTTACGTTTCCAGAAGCCGTGCAGCAGCGCAACAACCCTCGGGAGACCGAAGGTCCGATGTTAGTAGTGGCTCGACCCAAGCACGCAGCTCCACCCGGCAAAGCTCACCTTCTGAGCACCCGAGAAAGCGTGGTAGAAGCAGGAAACGTATGTCATGATGGCCTTCTCATCGGGCCTGAGAGTGCCTACAATATCTGCGCAGAGAGAAAGGGAGGAGAAAGGGTGAAGAAGCAGCACGGGAATCCTCAACCCCCCTCGGGCATGCAGCGGAGGGGAACAAGCGTTTGCTGGGATCCAGACCAGAGCTGGCTGACGGGGTTATTTTTGCCGCTATCCTTCCCCTGCTTAATAGCTCAGCCGCTTGCAAAGCGCTGAGGCTTCGTTTTGAGATATATCTGAGCTCCCAAGCCCCATCGGGCAGCTTCAGGAAGCTCCTTTCTGCCCCAGGTTAGTGCCGGGCTGGTGCTCTGCCGGCCCCTTGGCCCAGCTGCGCTACAGACAGATGCGGGGGGAAGCCGAGCGGCTTTTTTAAACCCATGTGAACAAGCTGAGGTCTGGTTCCCGAGTCAACAAGAGACAAAACGGCCATCTGAAAGAGAAGTCGCATGAGTGTAGGATGCTGCAGTCGGAAATGTTACAGCAAGATGGACACAGCCGCCTCCGGTACCTTCTGAGCCCCAGAAAAGGCATGGTAGAAGCTCGACACATAGGTCATGATGGCTTTCTCGTCGGGGCGAGCTGTGTTGACAATGTCTGCAAGTGAACAACAAGGGTTAGACTGAGAGGGGGACGTTCGCCGCCTCTGGCGCGAGCCAGGCTCGCTCTCCACGCTGTGCCTAGGAGCCAGCTCCTCTTTAGGCTGGAATCCCACAAACAAGCAGCTCTTAAAAGCCAGATAAATAGACCTGTATGGGCAGAAGAGCGTGTTAAATACAGTTAAACCACCCCCCTCCCCAGCTCCGAGCTGGCCGCCGGCACGCTTCCTCGGCGCCCGAAGGAGTGGATCTTCCATCGAGGACCTGGATATTTATGGCACGTGGACAACGTCACCCTTCGGCGGCGCGTTGTAGCTGGAAGCACCCGGAAAGCTTACCCTCTGCATCCAGCATCTTGGGGATGTCCAGGTACTTCTCCGCCACTTCGAAGGCGTTGTTCAGATTCGTCACGGGGTCATCCTGGAGAGAGGAGATGAGCTAGTGAGGAGGGCTGGCGTCCGAGGGCTGCAGGGAGCACAGGCGCCTTGCTGAGGCAGTTAAGAGATGGACAGACAGACGGACAGCCAGCCTTCTCCGCCAGCTCAAAGCTCGGTTTTTAGACGAGAAAAGCAGCAGAGAAGAGACTGTGCTACCACCCAGTTTTACCTTTCTGAGTTTGTCGTATTCAATGAGCTCCGGTCTGTGTCTGTGGATCAAGGCATTGAAAGCAAGACCGTCTTTCCAGCTGCAAGAGAAGAGGGGAGAGTGAGATCCCTGTGCCCGCACGCACGGGGCTTAAATTCACACACCCGGGTCCCCCGACATTCCTCTCGTCCGCCCCTCCCCAATTCAAGGGCCAAGACGAATTGTTCATCTCCCTCAGATCCTGGAAAACTCCTCCTGGAAAGGCAGCCTCCAGAAAGGGCAGATATTTCAGGCGTAACCGCAGCAAAAAACCCCGAAACAGCACTTTCCCCTTCCAGCCGTGCTGAAAGCTTCGCCACTGAATATTTCAGAGGAGCCTCGAAGCCCAGGGGAGCAGCACTAATGCCTCCTGCAGCGCGTAAAGGAGCGGCTCTCGGAGCCGAGGCGGCCGTCGAGGAAGGTTACCTGATGTGGAAGTTCTGCACGTTGACGTTCTTGTAGGGAGCCGTCTTCCTCTGACACCACAGCAGCAAGCCCTCCTTCGCCGAGGTCTCTGCAAAGGGACACGGCAGCTCATGAACCGGCCGGAGCGGCCTCGCCAGCAGGACGGGAGAGCCGATCCGGCGTGCGATGCCGTCTACGGCACGCGTATCCCTGCCCCTTACCTTCCACCGAGATGTCCTGGATGGCAAATCTGAGGATAATGGTCCAGATCATGCCCAGCGTCATCTTCGCGTTGCCATCGACGATCTCTGAAAGCCAAAGGGAAAAACCAGACGTTCAGCTCCCCGGAGGCAGCCAACTTCCCTTCCCAACTACAAGTAATTCCAAGCGATGCGGGAGCAGGGAGCCAGCGGGAAAGGTCTGCGGCTCTTCAGCGCCTCGTCGGGAAGCTGAACGCTAGGGCTGCCCCAGGAGCACATCCAGAGAGACACCGATTGCTTCGCAGCTCGCAAGGACAGGCCAGGAGCTCATCAGATCTTCAGGAGATGCCGCCGGCAAACGCCACCGGCACGCAGGCAGCACGAGGAGCTCCTTCCCCGCCTCCCCCCTTTGCCTTCGGGTGCGGAGGAACAGGCAGGAGCTGCTGGAGCAGCACCCCGGAGCCCAGATTTGGGCTCACCCCACGCTTTTGATTTCGCTGCGCACGTTCGTCTGGTACGTCGGCAGCTACGAGATGATCCTGTAACGTGCAGCTCGCTCTTCGCCCACCACACGTCGGATCCTCGCCCCGCGTCTTTCGTGACAAATAAGTCCAGAACCAGAGCAAGCGTCCTCCAAAAGAAACGTTTCCAAACCCAGTTTCACGACGGTGGTGTTAATGCCCAGCTCCGCCTCTGCCGGACCTCACGCCGGTCGCATCTTCAGCGGGTCCGGAGGGTGACCTGCAGCAGCCCACCGCGTCCCAAGCTGTTCAACCACCGAGGAGAACCGAACCACGGTTCCCGAGGAGCTCGGGCTCCCACGCTGGCCGGGGAGGCGGGAAGGTATCTCCTTCAACAAGCAGATGTGACATTTCTCATCTCTTGAGCAACCCAAGCGCTTGTTTTGGGGGGAGGTTGAGGGATGGAGTCAAGATACTCAAAGAGCAGTTGCCTGCAGTGACCGTTCAGCTGACGCGTGGGAGACTTTGGTGGATAAACGGCTGTTGTAACCACCACCACGCCCTCGCATCTTGTATTTTAATGCGGTACCAGTTGGAACACGCACCGGTTTCGGGAACAGGCAGTCTTCCCCAGCAGGCAAGCGACGCCAGCCGACAAGACTTCAAAGATGTAACCTCGGAGCGAGCCGCGGTCTTCCAGCCTATTCAAAAACTGGCTCTGCAAGGTGAGCCGCTGCCAAACAGGGCCCCGTCCCCTGCAAAAACCACCCCGAAGCTCCGGGGCAGCCCTCGGGCTTCGTCAGCAGCGAGTAAATCCGAAGGCGAGCGGTCCCGGCTGCTGCGCGGACTGGGAAATCCTCTCCCCCCAGCCTTGGGGAGGAGCTCGGAGACCTCTGAGCGAGGCGGAGGGGGAATTAAATCCGGCGTTTAACCCACTTCTCTTTAGCTGGCAAGCTCCCGGCTCGCAGGAACGCGACGGCGCTGCGTCCTCTCCCACGTCACGCCGGCGTTTGCAACGCGAACCCTTCGATGTCCACGTGTTCGGTGCAAAGGCGAGGCCGAGCCCGCTCCCCACGGCCAAGGACACGCTCCGCTTCGTTTGCAACCAGAGAAAAACCAAAGTATTCTTCTGCTCTGTTTGACCGGGTTGTTTTTCGTGGGGACGGACCAAACCGACACAGCTGGGGCAGAGCTGGGAGCTGGCCCGGCCCCAGAGAACCCTGCGACTGAGGAAAATCAGAGATCCTCATCTAATGGGAGGAATTTTGTTTTTTAAACCATAATACTTTTCCTGCCAGTACGAACACGGGGCGAGGCTCAAAGGGAACAGCGGGCAGAATGACTTGGAACAACGCAGATGCAAATAGTTGGCTTTTCTAGAGATTTTTTTTTGACCCGATCACCGACGGCAATTAGTCAAGGCAGCAGCAGGTACCCGTGCGACGAGCCCTGGAGGAAGCCGAGTCTTCAACCGATCACCAAACTTCCCTGCCCGCAGGCTGAAAACAACCAAACCCCCTTGGATTTCTTGGGGAGCCTGTCCGGAGGAGAGGGGGGGTTCACGCCTTGCCTAGCAAGCCTCGCTTCGTCCGGGCGTGGGGCGCGGGCTGGAAGGAACCACGTTTTTCTGATGAATCCAGCAAAACCACGTTGCGCAACAGCTTCCCTGAAATAGCCTTGACCTTGGAGACGGAGGCTGAGCCGCCTTTA